AACACATTGGTACATGGCGGTACGAAATATGATTTTCTTCAATACTACATACTGACATTCCAATTTGTTTAATATGTATCGATCAGTAACGCCTACACTTAAGTTGTGATTTGAACTACATATTCTAAACAAGAGCAAGTGACCTTAATTAATTTAAGATTTGAGAAAGTCGATCATCGCATGTCTATTAAGACACGAAAACCGTTATCGTGATTTAACTTTACTAGAAATTAATCAATTAAAGCCACTTTTCTATCACAAATTACTCTAAACTAACACGAAAAAATACAAAATGTATACTCTAACGCTTAAAGCGCTTTTTATTTTTTAAATTGTTTTAAATTGTCATTGAATTTGATTACAATTTATTCCGTAACTGCGTCCTTTGATCTATTGAAAGAAATAAAGAAAAAAAATGGCATAATCTTTACGTCATATAACTTTCTTTTGTGGTCGCTTCACGTTATTGATTGCGGCAGTACACTAATGTTATAAAAAGGAAAAATTTGTATTTTTCTGTGTTACAAATAAATTCAAAAACTACAGGATCGATTTAGAAAATCTTTCGTCTTTAGAAAGCTACATGAATAAGTTGCGTAGGATATATTCATTACTAGCATTTTTTTAATTCCGCGTGGAAGAAGTCGCGGGCGAAAGCCCGTGATTTACAATTGGAAGTGTGCAGCGCTGCAACCGCTCAGAGGTTTGATGTCGGATGCGGTGAGACCGGTCGCGAGTCACGACGCCGTTAGCCGACAGCGGATCGCTGGAACACCAGCCGTCCGACAGAGGTCAGCACCGCACTTCACTGGGACGTGTTCTCAATTAATAGCTATTGCATTTTGTTTGTCTTTACTGTGGGTTTACACTGCAGTTACATTTGTATTAACATATTGACATCCCTTATTTTCTCTTTGACAAAACAGAGACGGCAATATTTGTCCCACATCCATGTAATTAGTGTCATTATAATTCTATGTCTCATATATTGTATTTAATCAAAACAGTTTCAGATACTTTGAGAAGTAAATTTTCCTCGTCAGAATATTTGCCGAAATTTTAACAGTGGTAGAGTCCGCTTTAACATCTTCGCACGAATTGGCCCGGGTCGCCCGGTGAAATACCACGACCACACAGAAGACAGGCGTCAAGTGGAAGCAATTCCGCGTTTCGTCTGTTGAGTGTGCGTCCCGGAGGCCTAATTTAGTCCTCTTTCCGGATGAGAGGATGCATGGAAAGGGAATATATTTTCTTTCTGTGCATCCTCTCCTCCGTCGATGAAAGGTGGGCAACGCATATGCAACTGCGTATGTCTATGGGCAACGGTCACTTCGCTATATTAGCGATTTCAGGTAGCCGCACGTGCGTTTGCCACCTTATGATATAAAAAAAAATAAGTAAAAAATGAGAATTGAATAATTATCATTGTACGCAAGGAAAGTTTCCTTATATTACATTAAGCAACACGTGTAAATTAAATTACACCAAACTTAAATATTTGTAAAAACGTTTAGGAATGATGTACAATAACAATATTTAACTTTCACTTTTTGCTTTCTTTTGCAGACTGTTTACAGTTAAACGTAAACGTAATAGAACAAAACACATCTATCCATACAAACATATTCTAGGGAACCTTTTTATACGCATAATAATTATTCAAAGAGAGAATTTAAACTTCTTTTTATCTGATAAATGGCATCGCGTGTTTGTTCTCTTTCTTATCCTGTATTTCTTTTTTATCAAGGGTTCTTCAAAATAAAAGCAACACACTCTTCGATTAAATGTTTATTATAGAATTATAATTATAACTTAACACAAAATATATACAAAACACTACGATATAACAAATAAAAGTAATTAAAAACAACAGTAATCTCTGCTCATTGTTACAACTCACTCTTTTTACACTGAAAAATAAAAAAAACTACTCGATAAAAGAAAGAAGTAAAATCTGACGGCGCCACTATGTGCCAGTAACTTTTTACTTTTTTAGTGGCGCCCTCTAACTAATGTCGCTAATTATGCTTAGACAAGGGTATTGTTAAGAAATTAGGTTCACTAGAAAACTATGTCAACTTCTTATGTTCAAATATTCGAAACCTTTTATATTTTTAAGTTTGAATCGTATGTCAAAATGTTTTCCTAAAAGAGAATGAAAATAAATCGTAGTGTAATTGGATACCATGGACGATACAAATCTACTTATTTAACCTTCGTTTATTCGTCGACCATTCATTTCTCAACAGGTATATCGGGATGTAGGCCAAAGAATGGATTGTATGGAAGAGTGACATGATCAAGAAGGGAGTAACGTCTTCAGTGATAGTTTGATTTGGAAGATGAACACTTGTTCCAATATCAAATAAAGTCAGGGTCAAGATGGATTTCTACGTCAATAGTATTTTGAGTGAGAAAACATTATCAAGCTTCGATTCTTAAAATGTAGTAATTAATAAAACATTGAGTCATCAGTTCTATTTATAATTTTATTAATTAAACTTATAAATTTATATTAAAAGCGTTTACAAAAATAAGTGCTAATACATAACAAACGATAAAATCTTAAATAGGTGGTACTTATGTGTATAAAAATATAAGATCAAAGTTCAGATCTAGTCAAGATGGCTTCTAATATAACACAGATCATAACTAATAAATGCATGAAACTTTTAGGTGACGTTTTATTAAAAAGCTCATAAAAAATTAAATAATAACGGTTTATATTGCTCAACAAAATATCTTGCCTTTTAGTTCTTAATATATAAAAAAGGGTCTTGATAGATAGACGGACGGACAACAAAGTGATCCTCTAAGGGTTCCGTTTTTTTCCTATGAGGTACGGAACTTTAATAAATATTTTAATATCCGATAAGTAAGCTCAAAGTTATTTCGATCGCCAGTATTCCTGTTTTGCAATTAATTGCGTAATAAATCTTTCCAGCCTAACTAAGTATTTACAAATTTATTTAGACTAGACATTTTAATACAGAACTTTAGAAATTTTAATTTACAATAATAAACATGTCTTTTTTATACCAGTGGACTGTTGAAATAATATTTAATAAAGTACGAAAATAAAATTTGAGTATCCACTTACTTAGTTTCTAAACTAAAATTTCCATTTAAAACATACCTATCTCTGTTGACAAAAATGACAGGGATGACGATATGTCTTATACAGAGATTTTGATGTCAGAAATAAACATTAATGAAAAATTTTATAGATCTTTAAGTAAAAATCGTTTTAAAATCTAACCATATAACATTGATAAAGCAAAAATTACGTCCATTATATAAAAAATCGATTTGTATTATAAATATTTGCGCAATACAAGAAAAACAACTCATAAAAGATATACAACTGTTTTTTTAATATACTAAACATATTATGCATGTAAATGTATGAAAATCTACCAGAATATAGATATTTTGCTATGATATTGACAGTACATAACGCATGCAACTGATATTGCTAAAAAATAACTTATGTACTGTTATGTTTTTAAATCTAACGACATTAAAATTAAATAGAGAAAGATTTTTCTTAATTTCTTATATTTTCAAAACTTAAATACTAAAAATGTGTCTTAGATCTATCAATATACTGGAATAATAGCACCAATATGTTTAATCACCGGTCCAATACATTTTGTATGTAAGTAAATGTAAAGTTTAAAAAATAGTTCTTATTTGTAATGAGTTAAAACCAAATAATAGATTTACGTAGCTTTATGTCTTGTCTATTAAAACACAACTCTGCATTGTTTCGTTAAAATAAAAATATTGAAATAACATATATGTGTTACTGCACATATTGTTGTTTCAATTTTTTGAAAGCAAATGTAAGGGATGACAATATTTTTCAATACAAGTCAAACTGCAGACGAAATTCACTAATCGTTGGTTTCTGAAATCAAAATCTCCGTTTAAAACATATCTCAGTTCTGTTAAAAATAATGATAGGGATGTCAATATGTTTTATACAAAAAAAATTGGTCTGAGAAACCTACGGTAAGAATAGTAGAAATGCACAATAACATGGTATATAAATTTCCCACATATGTGTTTGTGTTTACAACACAACACTGTCCTATCATGTTATTGTGGTCGCGTAGTTAGCATTTCTATATAATATTATTCGCGTGGGTTATATGTTTTCAGTCTATCTGTATGTGAGTTATCAGCCTGCCTGTTGCACCACGGCCGCGCCGACCGCCGCCACTGCGGTGGGAGTTGCTACGCTGAACGAGGTGATGAATACATTGACTATGGTGATGAGGAAGATGCCGAGGACTGTCATGTTGTTGATCTTGTCAGCTTTGCAGATCTCCTTCTCGTCTTTGACGTCGTACCGACTGTTCATGATAAGGCCAATGCCAACAGCAATCTGTAACGTTAATTAAAGAAAGAATGTTAAGGGTGTTTGATTGTTTTGACTTGTTACACTTTAGTGGATAATTTATCTCTTTCTCGTTGCTTTATGAGATCAAAATCTTCGTTTAAAACATATTGTTGCCTCTGTTTTGACAAAGATAATGACAGGGATGACTGTATGTTTTGTACAGAGCGTTTGGTCTAAGAAACCCACAGTTAGTCTTCTAATTAACAATATGTATCCGTCCAAAGCTGTAATTTTTACCTAATTTTGCCTATAGAAATATTGACCTAGACGTTCGATGGAACAGAACGCGTTAAGACGCCATAATATGCAACCTACATGTACACTAATATTATAAAGAAGAAACATTTGTAAGTTTGTAACAAATAAATTCAAAACCTACTAAGCCGTTTTCAAAAATTCTTAACGTTGGAAAGCTATATTAATACTAAATAACATAGGATACATTTTATGTTGAAATTTGTAACTGAACTCTGATCTATGATAACGTGTTGGTGCAATGGGTTTACCTGGAAGATAACGCTAAGCGAGATGAAGACGAGGCTCGGGTAGAAGTAAGGATGTGCGGTCGAAGATTCGAGCACGTAGCGCATCTGGTTGGCATTGGCGGAGAGCAGCGCGAGGTCCATCATACCCTGCGCCAGGTTCTTCTTCTGCTGGTACGTGTTCACGTCCGGGATAGACTGAGGAGGTCATAACTCATAAGTCAACAATCATTCTACAATAAGAGTCTATATTTACATGTTTTTTTTCCAAATTATAATAATTCTGTAATATTTTTTAGCTATCTTTGAGATTATAAGTATAAAGGTCTGACTAAAAGTTCAGTAATTAAATTAAAAATGCAATAAAACTTACGCCTGGGGGCGGGTAAGGTGAGCCGGGTGGATCGTTGATGCCGAATCTATTGTCGAATCCGTTCATACCATCTGCAAATAAGAATTTATATTCATATTAAATATACAATTACAACACTCACGGAACAGATACCAGCTGCGACTTGTATTTTATTGTTGCTAATAACAAGCTTTCTAAAACGTTTTAGATTTACATTTGCCCATTGTAAAGAAAAGTATCTACATTTCAGATCTAATATGAAGAAATTAACTCTATCAATCGTAACATATTTATTTTAAATAAGTCATGCAAGCTGTTTCCCGTTAAGCATTTAATGGAACAGGTTGTGTACAACGTAACTACATAAGTATTATAATATCCGCCATGTTGCGTGCCACTCGCATGCGATGTCTTGCATATTATGTACACTATGATTCTTTTGTTCTTTTGTTCCATGGCAAGTGTGCCTTTAATTAACATATTTTTTTCTTAAATCGTAGATAGAAGATTTTTTTTCGAATACAAAATAGACGAAACTTTTACAAAGAGGAATTAACAAATATTTTTGTACATTAAAAACCATTATTTAAGAAAAAAAAATATCTTTTTCCTTTTAAAATAATTAATTTAGGAGTTTAGTTAGATCTAAGACTTTTGTTAGTCGATCACGTTTCGTATTTAATAAATTAAATTAAGAGTATAGTAATTTAATTGTCTACAATAATCTAGTTTCCTCATACATGTCCACAAATTAAATGGTCATAACTTCCTTATACAGTGGAATCCGTATAAATCATAAGACAGCGTTGAATTGTACACGAGATGTTATTTGATCTGACGTTTCTAGGAAACAGTTAATCTGTTTAATAGATCTTATGACTTAACATCTTTGTTAGCGTTGACCTAGTTTAGATAAGTTTTTTTAACTTTTTTCTTAGGCTCCTTTATATATCCTTCGGTATAATTTTATATCCTTCGGTGAAAGTGTTGCCACATTTCTTTTACAATCAGTGGGCCCTCAAATTTTTCCCGCTAACGTACATTCCCTCCGGCTCTTCCGTGCATCCCAAGGGCACCTGGATCTCATTAGTATTTTGTATTTTACTCTTTAGCATATTGTACTAATTGAAACATGTTTGTTGACAGTTCCTTTTATATAACAATGTAGAGGGCGCTTTTGGACAAAAACTCTGCCAAATAATTGTGCACGCTAGTTTTGTGTATGACGTGGCCGAAGCTTGGTGACTCAGTCATTATAGCACTCAGCAAACTGGCTTCACAACGCAGACATATGTATGACCTTCGTAATGCATTTTTATAATGTCAAATTAGTTTTATTAATTATTCTGATGTGAAAAGAAAAATATACAAAACTTGCTTTGATCTGTGATTGTATTTACATCATCGAGAGTATAATAATTATTATGGTGATGGGATTGAGAAAAATCAATGATAAGATTAGGGATTAATGCATAAATTGCGATAAAAATCCCATAGTTTGGTATCATCACAACTAGCATCAAATACTTTTTTCTCTTTATGTCTAACCATAACCGAGCTAACCCATTGGTGCAAGTGAAAATGTGTTCTTATAACAAATGGTATGTTTTCACATCCTCGGCCCTTTCATGAAATGAGGAGATGGTATGTGAAGATAAGTGAGGCAATAGTGTGAGGTGTCGGGGTGTGAGGTGAGGTAGGGAGATGTAAGGTTAGGTGAGGGGTGTACGGTGTGTAATCATGCATCCAGTCACCGTAAGGATAGTCAGTCTCGTCGGTGGCAGGCCACGGCCATTTACCCTCGTCTGTGCCGATGCCGTCGTCGTGTGTCGGATGAGTTGATCCATCGCCGCTTTTCTCCTCGCTCCCTGGAAAGACAAATATCAATCTACATTAAATAATAATGTACAGGCTTCTTAGAAATTCTTGTGTTAGCATTCATCTGAACTAAACAGTGTTGCTTTTATAATATTTAGGAACATATTAAAACCAAGATTTTTTGTATAAAAAAAGTTTTTAGAAAACAATAACTTTTCTTGCAATTATAATTGTAATTAATTGTTCATAATTTATAATATATTTATAAAATATTATCGACTGACCGCATATCGTTTCGGTGGTGAGATAACCCAGTTGTTACTGGCCTGATGATAGGAACAAATGTAATGCTACACGAAAATGTACTGATATGTAAGGAAATTTAGCAATAATTAAAGATAATATAGTGGGGAAAACCTGACGTTTTCTTTATAACTTGTAATCTCATGCTGTTAGAAACTTATACTGTATTCAAATATTATCGAAACTGAAATAAAATAATTATGAACTTTTGACATACGCATTGAAAATATAGATACGCTTCTTTTTAATAACCTAACATACAATTACCAGAAAATAAAATTTGTTATGAAATAAAAAATATATAAAAAGAAAAAAACAATCTCCAAAATTATAAATTACTTCATGTCACTGGATATATTTTGAATAGTTATAGTGTTTAAATTGATGATAACAAAATTTAATTCAAGCAAACTATTTTGTAGGACGAGTTTAAAAAACAGTCTTGATATTTTTAAATAAATTTAATTATAATTAAACAATGCAAGCAAGTTGTTAACGAAGACATTGTTTGTTATTCGCACGTTGATAAGAGACCGTACAGCAGACGTTTAGAGGACGTTTCTCTTTATATAAAATATATATTATATACATAAATAGTGTAGTATATAAACAAAATATTTCTTTAACTATACGATTGTTGCTAAGGAAAGTTGCGTACAGTAATTAAGCATTTACATGTCCATCTTTTATTATAATTAGTTTTTGCTCGCGACTTCGCAGAAATAAGAAAAAAGGGCGAAATTTCGTGTGGTACTCGAGAATATGTTCTATATCTGTGTTAAATTTCAATTTGATAAGTAGAAGCCTTGCGGAGTTTTCGCGTAAATATGACAATGAAATCAATGTTGCGTCAACTGCACTGCGGTTGGTCTTGACAATCCCGGCAATCCCGATTTGACGGTGACATGGTATAAAATAGTGGTCCTTTGTTTACCTTCGTGTGGTCCGTCATGTTTCTTATCCCCGTGCTCGAGTAGGCCGTCGTCGATGCCAGGGAAGGGATTTGCGTCTGAAGGCTTCTCCTCGTCCAGGTCGTCTACCTCGGGACCTGGAACAAGTTGATTAAAATCAATTATGTTAAAATGGCAGGAAAAGCACCCGAACAAACAGAAATAGCGAATGCAATTTACATGTTTGTGGACAATGTTTTGATCTCGATTTTCAACAGAGTATATCTACACATGTATTTACTGTGTATTTAATTAAATAAATGTAAAATATTTTACCCGCTAGCGGAGGCTTCGGTCTCTCCTTTTCGGGCTCCAGTAGTGGCTGCGATGGGTGTCCGGCCTCTGCCTCGTGGCCGCCGATATGTGTGTTGAGCTGGAAACATAAATTAATTATTTTTAATATTAAATCTAAAACACACTTGTAAATTTTTTTATAGTGTAAAGTGGCAAATTACTAAACAAACATCTGGTATCGCTAAAATAGCTCAGTGATGCTCATAGACAAGATAAAATAAAGTATTTAGTTACTAAAATTTAATAATATCTTTTTCATACGTTTTATAAAACATAAACTAAGTAAGCATTGTATTAATGTAATGAGACACGATGAATTAAACGTGTTATTTAAATACGAACTGCTTATGTAAATTACATATTATTTGGCGTTTCATGAACAAGTTTCCTTCTAAGTGCGTAATAACACACCTTTTTAAAACTTGCTTTAACGTACGTCATTCTAACTTTATAATGAGGTTCTATTCAGATTTATTTATATCCAATAAAAATTGGGTTAGTTGACCACTTCATTTTTACTGCTAAAATGCATACAAATAAATATAGTTTACAGTGGAAACTCACTTTAAATAATACTAAATAATATCCCCATTAGTTTTGGAAAACGTTTTTATAACTTTATTTAACAAATAACAGAATTGTCGAGTGTTAATGAAGCTCACTATTAAATGTTGTTTTGCATTAAACATTGTTTAATTTTTAACCGATTTCAAAAAGCAGAAGTTTCTCAATTCGTATGTATTTCTAGTGAAAGTTGTTACCGTTCTACGGGTAAAACCGAATGCAATGTTTTTTCTAAACCATTATTAACAACGTAAGATTGGCCGTTTGTGTATGTAGGGTTTTCCTGTTCACTGATTACTCATTACAATGTCTTGTATTGCAGACTGTAGTAATTACACTCGTCATAACGCATTATCAGTGCCAAGGTTGCATCGTGGGATATTTGTGCATGCATTTTGATCGGTCTGCAGTAAATTTGAATTTATAAGCAAAATGGTTTCATTGCACAGATGTAACTGAATTATTTCAGTGTATCAATATTTATACTTGTCTTTTGTACGTTGAAAGTTTCTTTTTTTTAAATTTCATATCTTATGTTGCTCTTACTAATATTATAAATACTTTAAGACTTTATTAGTTAGAATAATTTGGCGCGAATGACGTGCTTTCGTAACAAAATCCAGTGTCAGAATGAATAGTGCGGGGACATAAACGTCGACATATTAGTAAGGCTAGTGTTGTGCCAGTACACCTGCACAGGGTCGGAGTTTCTTTCTAACAATACTTATAGAAGTCATCTCCAAAACGGAACAAAAGAACTCTGTCAAAAGAACTAGTTTGGAAGAACTCTTAGGCTACTTAATTTCGCACATACGAAGACGCGGGCTATACGTAGTATTTTATAATGAATGAATTATTAGGAAAAACTTATTAAAGGTATGTAAAATTGATAAACGTAATATATTTGAACAGGAAAGTAATTAGGTATTCTGAGAACAAATAAATGTTTTCCACAGGTTTGGCAGCGGTCGCACGTGTGGGCGTTGTTCGGATCGGCTTTAAATAATATCTGTAGGTTAGTTTCAAGGGCACAGGGCTATGCCACTGATTTTTGTTGTTTAGTCAAATTTAAATAATTATATTTGGCTTGATACGACACCGGATCGTTCGGTGAATGATCTATTTTAGTTACGAACACACACGATCTAGATAACACATGTTAGTGTGTATAATGCACGGTTGTTTACCCGCCAATTTGAATCTAATTGTTTTTATGTTAATGAGTACCTGGTTTCTAAATACGAATTCGGATTTCTAAAAATCAAAATTAGAATTTTTATATCGTATCAAATGTTTTAAAATTGACTGACACTTAAAATAAATTGTAATGAAATAAGAAACCGCACACATAAAACAAGAAAACGACAAATGTACCTATTCAATAGAAAGAACAAAGAAAATAATCACTGAAAAGTTACTGAAATACAGCATTTTCTTTTTGTTTTATTGTTCAACAAATTAACATTAAGTAATTCTCAAATTTATAACCAATTAAAAATGCACAATTTTTTTTAAATTGTTATAAATTTCAAGGTCACCGAGGTTAAATGCATGAAAACATTTTTAGCTAAGAGATATCCCACTTTAGACAATTAGAGTCACTTTAAAGACCGCTTTAGAAGTTAGGATTTTCCTCATCCCGCTACACATCTCCAGTAAATGCACAATGTTAACTGTACAGTTGAACTGCACAGTTTTAACTGAAAGTGTGTAGACAAAACTGAGAACTTTAAAGTTAAACTGACAGCTCAAATTTTGCCAGAACACGTACGATTTAACCGAAGAAGGGGACTAGACAAAGTTCAGTCGCTCTGTAGCGATTCCATATAGAACTTCAAAAATGTATAGAATTGACAATAACTTTCGATAAGTCACGTGAATGTGTCACTTTCATGCATTTTTCAAATTCGTTAAGGAATCACTACGGAGCGAAAGCACTTTTTCTAGCTCCACAGTACAGTAATATAAAATTATGTAGCCGACTTTACTTCTGCTACGTAACTTCAATTAAATTGCAATCTCGGGTATGTGATACTGAAAATGTTTTTTTTTTATATCATAAGGTGGCAAACGAGCGAGCGGCCACGTGAAATCGCTAAAGTAGCGAAGTGACCGTTGACCATAGACATACGCAATTGCATATGCGTTGCCAACCTTAAATCGACGGAGGAGAGGATGCACAGAAAGAAAATATTTTCCCTTTCCATGCATCCTCTCATCCGGAAAGTCCACTTCGACTTCCCATCCTTTCCTTATAAGAAAAGGGTGGGAAAGAAAAGAGGACTAAATTAGGCCTCCGGGACGATGATAATTTTCAGACGTTTTTCCCTGAATTTATTTACGTCTGCAATGTAGTAAAATTACAATGGTAAGTTTCTTGCATGCATTCTATTAATAAAGACGTAGTTTTTGTCGCGCGACACACAGTCGTGTTGCGACAGACTACGCTAAATAATTTTAAAATACCTCTAATACGTATGCAACGTATTAGAGACACCTGCCAAATGTATGTACAATAAAAAATGTAAAATATCCGAAAACCAAGGTTTATGAAACACTGCTTTTTGACTCTACTGGTTTGATATTCCTCAATTGGATTGTGACATACGTTTTGAGACAAGGGAAATCATCAGGAAACATCATATTTACATGCCAAATAAAGAGACAGCAATAAATATATATATATTCATATTTATACGAACTAGATTTTCCCGCGACTATGCGTAATTAAAAAAAATCGAGTAATAATTATAGCGTATGAATTTTTGATATTTGACCAGTAGTTTTTGAGTTTATTTGTTATTAGTACCTTTAAGTGACATGGCACTACAAACTAAAGTATTGAAACGTTGGCGTTGTTAGGAACATTGAATTATGAGTAATCTAATCGACTATTACTTACAATGAAGCTACGAACGAATGGTTCGTCCGTAAATCCGTAAATACTGACATGACTATATTACAGTGTGGTTTCCCAAATTATTTTATATTGACGTAGCAATAAGTTTATTTGTACTCATTTGAACAATTTTACCGCGAAGCGTACGTAAATGAGATGGCGTTTCTAAAAAATTTATGTCAAAATAATTATTTCAGTGACACATCGTTCTGAGAATTTAATTTCAGAATAAAGACTTTTTGACGATCGCTTATAATTCATTTCCCAAATATATGTATTATTGACATTAAATACATACATACTCTATAAAGGTCTGGATTTAAAAAAAATAATATAAACATGTAAGTAGCTTTATTATATGGTTGTTTCAGAAAATATTTTTAATAATATTACGTTACTAACGAAACGGTAGAAAGATTTATTAGTCAGATGGATTTTCTCATTTGGGAAATTCCTATAGAAACATATGTTCATCTCTTTCATTCAATTTAAACATAATGAGACAAAAATATTTTTTCATTTATCAGCAGAGAAAACAGACGTGTTCAGAGAGTCTGGACATTTACAAGGCATATAAATAAGACGACGATAAAGATTGAAATTTAAATTTAGAACTTTAAATCCAAAACTAAAACTATTGGATCTTTTGTCAAGGGAAAATTGAAGGAAACGAGTTAACAATTGACGTACTATTTTAAGAGTTAGATGTGTCATTGAAATTATTGTTTATTGCACAATCAAGAACTTTATGAACTGTGAACATGACTGATATATAGTATATAGTTGTTAATTATTTGAAGGCTGTATATAGTGTGTGAGTAGTCATCGTTCACTCGGGGTCATTAACCGCAGCCTCCGAGTAATCTCGGGAAATTTTTTATGTTTACTACTCGTATGGGTGTCTCTGCAAGTGCTTATGTGTGTAGACGCAAGCACACATGGTGTGACTCTTGTGTGCCTTTACGTCGCGCCAAATGCTGTTCTATATAACTGGCATAAAGTTTGAATTGATTGATACGTTAATGACGTCACAACGCGGAAAAAACAAGTCAGAGCTTAGTTTTAATGAACCGTTTATTTTGCTCGTATGTTACATAAAATAGTTTTTTATTTTTTTTTAAATGATATAATTCGCAGTTACAATCGAATTTTATTAAACGTGATAAAGAAAATGTTGTTTTGTTCTATTGCAACTTATACGAGAAACTGTTTTGTAGATCTTAAACACTATTATTACATTGGCTTTGATCCAGATAATAGGAAATGAGATTTGTATTCGTGTGAAATTCAATCTGTTTTATTGCATTCTTAAATAATATATGCAGCTCACTTTTTTGTAGGTTAAAAATAATTACGCGATTATTTCATTTGCTCGCGAAAGTTGGAATGCACAGACGAAATACTGTTTTCATAGTATTTGACGTAGCTTAGTACGTTTAAAAAATATTAACATATCTTCGACCGAATCCGTTGCATAGAAAACAATATTTATATTGTTAAATAAATTTTAAGGCCATAAATTAACTTTAGTTAAAATCAGTTTAATACACGATCCTATACATAACTAACGGATGGTTTCTAAGATCAACATCTCTGTATAAAATATATCGTAATCTCTATCATTATCTTTGACAATACAAAGATAATAATATGTTATAAACGGGGTTTCTGGTCTCAGAAACCCACGGTTAGACGTATAAAGGCCGCTCCACATTTAACACAATAGTTATATTGTTATACATTTTTGGTAGAAGTTTGGCGCCGCAATGCTTTAGTAGTTACATTTAAATTAGGTTCTTTACCTAGGCTTTGTATTCCAGGCGAATCTGTATATACAATAGTAAAATTTAGTTTATAATTTTACAGAGGATATTAGAAATGAGCGTCAAATTGTCTTTGTTTAATCTGCTCACCGCACTGACGATTACTTTTTAGTAACTTAAACAGTTCTATAGTTTCCTATATCTACAATTTGATGTATACTAAAGATCTCCCTCGGCCACTTAGTAACTCTGTGTACGACATTATGAAGATAAAGATTTCTAGTAGACAGTACGAAGCAAGTACAAACCAATAAATCAAATCGCACTTCGCAGCAATAATCTGAAACTTTCTCCCTGAATGCCACACTAACATGAATAATTCACAGCATCATAATGTGAATAAAAACATTGCATTTTTGCACGGACCACAACGCATATTAATCAATTAATTAATTCTTATACGCGCACTTCAGAAAAACTAACAGTGATATTTAAATGTAAACAAAATATAAATAAATAAATGCGGCAAACATTACCCTCTAGGGTCAGTTGGTTAAAAAGATAGACCCCGTATCTGTTATCATCGTCGTCAGCTCTTTGTCCCCACTGAGAGGCTCAGAGCATACCCTAAGTCAGGTGTGACTACCATAGTCAACCATGATGTCAAAATTCGTGGTTGACTTCACACATATCTTTGAATTTCTTCGCAGAAATATGTTGTGATAAATACAATTTGTTTTCAAAACAATTATACTTAGCAACAGTTATAATTACTGATTTGAGCATGGTCTTATCATTATCAGATGAACGTTCTCCTCGGGTCATTGCAAGGTATTATGCACGACTCGATAATGAATAATGTCAAATTGTTATTACATATTATACTGAACTCACAAATTAACCAAAAAAAAACTGACTACTATCAGTCAAAGTGCATCATGACTTTCACAAATTTCATACGATAAAATTTTTAAAACAAAACTTATTTTTTAGTTTTTTTCAGACTCAAACATTATATTTGTCTTCGAAATAAATGTCCTTAAAAACTATTACATTTGAAAATATGTAAATGAATTTAATATTATGTGATAGGTTATTGAACGAGTACCTCATTTTAAGATCATCGGCCAAGGTTAGTCATTGATGACATAGCTAAAACATATTTCATGTTTAAAAACTTTTGTCTGATGATTTTAAATATTTCAGGTAAATACAGTAAGTTAAATTATCGTTACTTAATTAACAATGTTATAAGATGAGATGGATTTTAAAATTTTAAACATGATATAATCAGTATAAGCAAGAAGTTTTCTCAATTTACTTAAGTCATGATATTGTCAAGTTAATTAGCTAACTTACAGTGTCCTTGCCGTGGGTCCTTTCGTTTATTTGATGTACATCCGGTTTAACAACACCCCTAGGAGAGGTAGGTGTGCCGAAGACCATTTCCACGTCATTCAGATCCAAAGGTTTCGTCCCGTGAACCTTGGGAGAGTCCACTTTGCTTAAACCCGAATGACTCGACGACATTATAACACTTAATGTTATAAACAACAAAACTAACAATTATTATCTTTAGCTATTCGTTTACTTTTAACAGTTTTTTTTTAATTGCAAAGAAAGTTTTCAGTGAAGCGTTCGATAGAGCGCAGCACAATAACACGTCCGCTCTTCGCGCCGGTCGCAATGTTCACTGACAACTCACACACAGCGTGTGACTTAATGACTTGATCTCTAAAAATACCATAGTTCCAACACAAACAGAGTAACTAGACGATACTTTGTGAAATATACAGTGGATTCCCCGAAGTTCACAAGAACACATCTGTTTAACGTCAAAATATTAATACTTTCTTTGCGTTCATAACTTTGTAAACTGACAGCGAGTTTAACGACTCGGGACCTAAATCGTATTGGAAATGAATACGCATATAAGTTTATCACGATTGCCTACACATAGAAGATATATTTGTCTGTGAGAAAATAATTAGGAACAGGTTATAGTGAATATACAGTGTTTAACATTAGAAAAAATGACCGATGACCTGGTCAAGGTTGCGGGAGCGTCCTGGATGCGGGTGGCACAAGATCGGTCATCGTGGCGATCTTTGGGGGAGGCCTATGCCCAGCAGTGGGAGTCTCATGGCTGAGTAGATAGAACATTAGAAAAAGTTGAATTTCTTTGTCAAATGAAAAATCAAATTAATTAAACTTTTTAAATCATACAATGACGACTTGTGTAGAAAGTTCATCAATTTTTAACACGGCTACAAGTATGTGTGTTTTATGAAAAATAAAGTTGATAATGATCAAATATTAGAACAGAAACAGTATCGATGTAATCCTAAGTTATTTTAGGTTGATTAGAGTACATGTCGGTAACCTAGGATTATACTTTGTAATTATATGATCCACGAGGAATTAAACTTAACGTTTAATAAACTGGTTCTAAAATGGATTATATAACGTTATATTAGTTTAGCTGTACAAAGAGGGAACGCTGCCAGTATCTTCGGGACCTTGCCTAAAGGGACTCCTTTTAATAACATATTTTAGTGAATTATTCGTTTTTTTTAAATATTTTATTTTATATCATAGATTTAAGAATATATGTAATTAAAGAAATAAGGACGTTATATAATGTGAACTTGCTCTACATTTAATTGTTTATATTTCTTTTGACGGCGATTTTCTATAGACAAAGTAAACATATTACCACGCGATTTAATACTATTACTAAGTGTGTAATATTCCAAATGCAAACTGCATAAATACAGGAAGAGACGAGCATCGGTGGCTTAGTGGTCAAGCTCTTGATTTGCAATCTGCAGGTCCTAGGTTCGAATCCCGCCATGTACCAATGTATTTTTCGATTTCCGATTTACATATGTACATTTATCCGACGTTCTTACGGCGAAGGAAAACATCGTGATGCAACCTGCACATATCTGAGAAGAAATTCAAAGATATGTGTGAAGTCAACCAACCCGACTTGGCCAGCGTGTTTGAATATGGCCTAATCACCCTTAACTTAGGGTAGGCTCCGAGACCCTCGGTGGGGACGTATAGTGAGCTGATGATGATGAAATACAGGAAGTGTGCATAAGTAGAGTAATCACGTTCCAAAAGCGAAGTAATTAAATGATGGTACAAAACTAACACAGATATTATTTAGTACGGGGTCATTATCTGTACTATATTGTCCCTGTGTGTGTGTGTCCATGTTCACAAAACAATATCTGATTGTGTGTTCATGACACAAATTATGCCACACAATAATTTGTGTTCCCATTTGATGACATAGTTATGCATGTCTTTGTCATTATGACTCAGTTATCTGCGAGTCTAAAAAATGGGTGATGGGGGTTCATCAATCAGATAGGCATAAACTTATTTTTCCATAGACACCTTTCAAAAGGTATCGATAATACCTCTTAAACTACATATAATTTTTAACTTGTAAACGTTAAACTTTACTTATCAACAAAGTACACTCCCGCCGGCCGTGGACCGTAAATTGTTATGGATCACTTTGGAAATTAAAGGTTTTAAAACAGGATAAATTTAGCTCTATCTTACTACCGTAGCCGTACATAACGTAATTACTGCTTTAATTTTTAAGTTTATTTTATATAAGTTTTGATTTGGAGAATTTTTTATCGGAGTCCTAAAACTAAGCACGCAAGTTCTATGTCAAATATTTTTCATACTTTTTGCGCACAAACGAGTTATTTTGGACTGGTTTAAATATGTGATGTCCTCATCTGTGTATCATTTAATGTATTATATCTTTTTTTAACTCATATAAAATTATGTTGCTTTGGATTTTTAAATATATTCAAATATGCTATTCTAATTCGGAATTACCCATTTTTATATCGTATTGAAAATATATAAATAGCAGCTAAATAGAAAAATTAATAGATAAATAACGGTCATGTGAAGGTCATTTTTTGAATAATAATTTTAAATCGCATATTTTAAGCCGAGTATTTTTATTGTTAAACAGTCGTCCATCTAAATAGAGTTACTAATACTTACATTTTATTAGCGCACCGAATGCAAGAAATATTTTCCTTTTGTGCATCCTCTCCTCCGTCGATTAAAGGTTAGGCAACGCATACGCAATTCCGTATGTCTATGGGCAACGGTCGCTTCTCTATTTCAGCGTTTTCAGGTGGCCGCTCGCTCGTTTGCCACCTTATGGTATAAAAGTGAGTATCTATTTATATTCTAAGATCACGGTATTGCGGATCTTGACACAATTTTGAACAAGAAAATGTTATACTAACATAGGAAATGATGATTAACATGGCCATAGCGCACATATCTAACGACTGTTTTTTGAATATACGTTTATATAAAAAACTAAAATATACGAAATCATCCAGTTCAGTTCATTTTGTATCGCCCACGTACTGATCTGACGACAACCAACGGAAGTCAGCGAGTGGACCAGTTTATCTTGTGTCCACGCGAGGGGGAAAACCGCCGCAGAATCACACTTCACTCACGTCACTTTGTCGTCAATAGAGCTTTTAATAACTTTCAATAAATGTAGAAAAACCACGTTACTTTCGTTCTGAACTGTGGATAAAAAATCCACTGACTTGTTTATAACAACTCCGACCCGAACTACGAGAAGTAACAGTTTTTTAAGAATTATGATGTACTAGCGTCTACGTACGCGCGTATTTAAAAAAAACAACTTAATGAGTAGCTTATGTGTTCTTCCAGACTATGTTCTACATCTATGCCAAATTTCAGCTAGTTCTGTTAATCCGTTTTTGAGATACCTTCAAACAAACATCCATCCATCCATCTAAACATTCGAAATTTTAATATTAGTAAAATTTTATTTACATTTCATATTATTTTACAAATTGAGAGTAAGTAGGTACAAAAATTAATTATTCTAAATAGGGATGGCGTCAGGCTGTCGGCGTCTGTAAAAATTAAACCAAAAACTATGTGCCCCGACCCCAATTGTGTGGGATAAAGCCATTTAGATGAGATAAAATTCCTGATTCAATTTGCAATTGTCAGGGTCGAGTAGACTTAACTAGACAGTGTTTATAAGAAATTGACCATTGACCTACCTCAATTATATTTATTTTCTTTGAATTTACGCGAGCATGTGGTTTAGGTTTCCCGCGCTTTATCTCTCATGATTGTAACATCATGACCAATATTGTAAACTTGCGGTACATTTTTATTATCAATGCTGACATTACTTACGTATGTTTGCGGTATGAAATTCTTAAAGGTTTTTTTTTTAAATAGGCTATTTATTCCTACTTAAGTTTGTTGAAAAATAAATTTTTAAAATTATTTCCGTAATTTAAAAATAAAAATAAGTATATATAAAAACTGGATGGTTGCGAATCGTAATATACACCTATACCAAACTTGTTAGGAATGAGGAAGCTGACATGAGCCAACTTTTTGTTTAGAATTATTAATTATTTCTATAATACAAGCTGTACAAGGAAATTATGATTCTAATCAAGAATCTTACATCTAGTTTTGCATCAGCTTGCATGTTTTAAAGCCCCCTGTAGTGTATGCATAAACGTAGTGTTGTTTGTCTCGAGCGTACACGCCATAAGTACATGCCGGAGAGAGGGGACGTCAGTACTCCGCTACAGACCGCTGAGGTGAAAGGACGTGTCCGCTCGCCTCACTTCTGTCGCACCGCCCAACAATTCGTTGAGCAATCCGCACCTGCGCGCGCCGTAAAAGGTGCCGCCATCCTTTGTTCG